CTTCTCTTATCGGCCGCTCAGATGAAGTGGCGGCAGCCAGGTGCTGGGGCAGAGCACAGCACCCCCCCCACCACCACCCGCCTGCCTGCACCTGGGGTGCCCTGCACCAGCCAGGGACCAACTCCTGTCTGCAGGCAGGCCCCCATGCTCCCCGAGGGCCAGCTGGCTCTCCACTTCAACCTCTGCTTTTTACACTTACGTGCAGGGGGCGCTTCACTCTGCTCTGTGCTCAATGCCAAACACTTGTCAAGAGTCCCTACGACCCCATGATAGTCAGCCAGCACCAGCCCCACTGCACAAACAGGTAAACCAAGGCTCACAAAGGCAGGTGTCCTCCCCAAGGTCTCCCCATTGGGAAGCTGTGGGCCTGGGGTGCAAATGCAGCAGAGGCCCTGCTCTGCGGTGTTTTTGTGCACAGGGCGGGGTGCCCCGTCTGGCTGCAAGGCTCCTGAATGCCCCTTCCCAGCACCCCAGGGAGACGCTAGTTTCCACCTCCTCACTCAGCCCAGCGGATGGCAAAGGAGACCCAGGCGCACGGCCCAAAGCTCTGCAGACTGGGTCAAGTTCTGCTCCCTCAAAGACGTGACTTGAAGCTCCATGTTGTCACCCTGGGCAATATCCAGCTTCAGCCTACAGCTGGCCCAAGCCACAGGCCCCAGGAGAGGCCTATGGCCACGCACAGAGCCACAAGTCCGAGCCATCTGGAAGGTAAGTGGCAGGCACAGGGCCAGCCCCACCAGCCCAGGACCGCAAGATGGCCTCTCGCCATGCTCATGCCCTTGCCACCCACAGGCTTCTAGAAAACACCCCTCTTCCATGAAAACCTGGCTCTCCCACCATGATGTGGTCTGCCCTGCTCTCTGTGGTATCCCAGCCTGGAACCAGGGCACCCGTTCAGCAAATGCTGCTGCACTGCCAACAGGGGACCAGGCATCTGGAACCTTCTGGAACATTCCCCACCCACTTAGCAACTTTTCTTCTCTCCACCATCATGTTCTAGCTAACAGCCCCACCTACAAAGCTCGTACACCTGAGTAAGCCTAAGCCACGACCTGGAAATGACACGGGGGGAGAGGGGGGAGCCCGCCACACTAGGAAGTCTGGGGTCCTTGTCGTGGGGCACACGTTACTTGGCAGTCAGGCCCGAGACAGGCTCAGTCCACTGCCCCAGATGCCAGGACCTCTGAGGATGCCCCAAAAGGCACACACTGAGTAGCGGGAACACCTGCTTCTAACAGGAAACAAGCCACGGCATCCAGGGCGCCCCCAACGGTGACCCACAGCTCCGGGTGCTCATCTATCACCGCCGACCACACGGACCTCGCCAACACGGCACCCCGTTGCTGCAAAGGCAGGGAAGGGGAGAAGGCCCGTCTACACAGGTCTCTCAGGCAAGCAAACCAGAACCGTGAGGTGCCCGGCATGTGAAACATCACTCAAGAAAGCAAGCTCTAAGCATCCGACTCCAGCAAGCAAGCACAGTCCCCTCCGCGTGTCCGCAGCGCCGGGTCAGGCTGCTCGAGGCCACTCTGACAGCAGACAAGGCCCCTGAGGGGACCGCCAAACCCTGCGTGTGAGGCCACCCAGCACCACACGATGTGTCCATGGCCTGTCTATGAAAGGCAATGGTGCACCTGCACAGGCAGGTGCCAGCTCAGCACCTGTGGGGGGGGACTGCCACGGCCACAGGAGTCCCCACTAGGCTGACGACAGCGAGGACCCCGGTGCGCCGCGCACACCCACCTGGAACGAGCCTCCCAGGGCGCAGGCAGGTGAGGGGCACGCAGGCGAGTCGGGCACACACGGCAACCCCTTGACCACACGAAGGGGAAGGCAGAGGTCTTGTGGTTCCCATGTCCACAAGTCGCTCCTCAGGCCTGGCCCGCCCCTCAGGAGCCCAGTCACCTCTGGGCAATGCAGAGCAGTAGGCCCACTTCACGACAGCACCTGCAGGGTCTGCGAGCCCGTCTTTAGGACTCACCCAGCCCCACAAGGGCCCTGCGAGTGCTCTGAGCAGAGGCTCAAGGAGCAACACCCCCATGCGGCAGAACGACCCCCCACCCTGCACGTGGGCCTAAACACCAGCACAGAAAACGCGGTCCCAGGTGCCCCCCCTGCCAGGAGGCAGTGCCCAGCCTGGCAACAGCAGCTCCCAAAGCCTTCTGCGGGGAGGCCCCATCTTCCCTGAAGGCAGGGGGCCATGACAAGAGGGGGCAGCATCCCCAGAGGGGGCTGAAAACCAAGACTGTGTCCAAGATCCTGAGGAAGACACAGGAGAAGCGGGTGACCCAGGAAAGGCCAGCAGCGCGCCTCTGACACGGCTTCCAGATGCCAGCCAGGTCTCCTGGGGACCCACACCGGCTCGGAGGGGGCAGTAGGCCTGAAGGCGCCCTCGGACACCCAGGACAGTGTCGGTGGTCAAGATCTGCCCCCACACGGGCCCAGAGTCTACACAGGGCTGGCACTAGCCAAAGACAGCCCCAGGGATGAGGGAAACGCGCACCGGAGCTCTGGGGCGTGCACTGCCCCGCTATCAGAGCTCGCTCTGCTGCCCGGACAAAAGTTCACTCAAGAGAAGACGCAGAAGTGATACTTTAAAATGGCTGCCCCAGAAAATCAGCGTGAGCTTTGGCCACCTAGAGAATTCGGGAGCTGACGTGGCTTGCTGCAAAGCCCTTCCAACACAGATTTATGGAAGGAAATAGGACGTTACAGGAATCTTTCGTCCTGCAAGCCAGACTTATTCGGTCTAGAGATGCAGCCTTTCCCACGTCGGGCAGGGCACCCTGGGAGAAGAGGGGGTGAGCCCTCCTCCGTCCGGCAGAGGCCAGCAGGTGCAGATGCCCCCCAGCATCCTGAGGGCGGGAGGAGGAAACAGACTTTTGGGGCGTTCCAAAGCTGCCAGCCAAGGCACTCCTGGGGGCTGAGGAAGGGGGGTCAGAGGGTGGTGAGAATCCTGCAAAGCTCCCCATGCTGAAGGCAACACTCCCAGTGACCTCCACTGGGATCCCTGACACCCAGCCATCCTGGGACCCGACAGAGGATGGACATCTCCATACTGTGCAAGAGGAAACCCCTTCCCCAGGCTCAGAGCCAACAAGCTACACCTGTTGCCCTCTCTCGGCGCACAGGGGTCCCAGAGACCCAACCCTCACCTCCTCCACTAAGGACAGCCTCACCAAGCTGGACACCTCCTCCCATGATGCTACACTCCCCCCTTACCCTCCCACCCTCTGTGTCCTCAATGGTGACCGTGGGGGTCCTCAACAATGAACAGGGTAAATAACAGCCTCGTCGGTGAGGAAGCAGCATGCCGCTCCAAATCCCACCTCAGAACAGCCCAGCAGAGGCAGCTGACCCCAGATGCTGCCCATGGAGCTGGAGGAAACGTCAGATGCCCAGTCGCTCAGAGAGGTACAAGGACTGTTTCCCACCAACGGGGGCGTCCAGTACCTCCTGTTCAAGAACCGCCATCAGACGAATGGCAAGCCTTCTCCAGCCTTCCTACCACCACCCAGAGTCCAGGCATAAAAGACCCCTGGATGGCAGCCAGGCTCCAGGCCTGTGCTCTGCTCAGGACCCAGAGGCAGAGCTGCCTGCCTTGCCTTACAGGGTATGGGAACTAAAAACCCTTCCGAGGGTCACGTGGGCCTGCAATGCCTCATCACTGCTGAGGCCTACCTCGGATCCCGCTGCCGCTCCCCGGCTCCTGCCCACCACCCTGCACCAGCGGGTGCCCACAGCGCCACGCAGGGCCACGAAGGATCACTTGGCGAGAGGGAGAAGGTGGGAAGGGAAGACGCAGGGCCACGCTCTAAACCTAGGGTCCTCTGCTCCTCTCCGGTCCTCCCTCACCCACACAGCAGCAGTGCCATTGCTGGCCAGGGCCCCCAGACCACAAACCACCGAAGCCACCCCTCCACAGGGCCCAGAATCATCCACAGCCATGAGGAAGGAGAGCTCAGTCCCTCCCGAAGGACTCCACAGGATGCCACCAGCCCTGCCAAGAAAACTCCACACTGCCACTGCAAAATCAAGGGACTGCAGGAAGGGCTGGCCTCTGGAGCTCTTTGTCTCTGGAGAAAGGCCAAGGACAGGTTGACAGCCACCAAATCGGGGGGCTCGCACACATGCAAGCCACACTGCAGGGGCCCAAAGGACAGAGCAACCAAATCCAGTTTTGGAGCCAAAAAGGCAGGCGGCCTGCAGTGTGGCGGGCTGCCCTGCATCAGGCCTGGAAGGCCCTGCTAACTTTACAGGGTGCTGGGGTAGGCTTAGACCCAGGCAGCCAGCTCTCCTACAGGCCAGCCCCAGGCCTGACAGCTGACCCCCCCCAAATGAGGGAGGGCCGGTAAACACCCGCTCTGACAGGCAGTGTCCTGGCTTCCAAGGCTGGCCCAGGCAGCTCGGGTTACTGTTTATATAATCTTCTAGGGCTGGGGCTTGACACAGCCAACGTGAGGGCAAGGTTATGAAAAATGCATGTCCGGGGCCTTTGCATTTAAAAAAAAAAAAAAAAATCGTACCGGCATTTTGTATGACTTGGTTTTAAGACCTCTCACACATCCATTTTGTGAAGCAGTGGGCCCTGGAGGAACCAAGAGGCCCCTGACGCACCCAGGCCTGGCAGCCCCACGTCGCACAGACTTCGGGTCAGAAGCAGCCCCTCCAGCACCCCCAGCTGGGGCACCTACACCTTTAGACTCCAGAGCGCCTGGAACACAGGGCCCCCACACTGCTGCTTCCCGTACAGACCACCTGGGGGGGTACAGCCAGACTGACGGACACGCCCTCCAAGTGCCCACTCTTGCGCGTGGACCCACACTGTGCCACACTTCCCCGCCACACGCTGGGAGGTCCGACCTCGCCCGCACAGGCGGTGCGCACGCACAGAATGACACGCGCGGCTGCCCCCAAAGGCCGGACGCGCGGCCCCGCACAGGAGCAAGGCTGCGCCCGGAAGCGCTCGCCCACCACCCACCCGCGGCCAGCGCCCTCACCTGCAGCTCGCACCAGGCCACCTCCACCCAGGTTTCCGTGTCCAGCCCCTTGTAGACCGTCTTGAACGAGCCGCGGCCCAGTTCGATGTCGAACTTGAGGAAGCGGCCGTCCAGGGAGGTGGCCACGGCCTTGAGGTCGTCCTCGTCGTCGTCCTCGTCCTCGGGCTCGTCCCGGCGTGTGCGCCCAGGCTCCGGCCTCGCCTCGGACGCCGCGGCGTCCTCTCGCCCCGCGGCCGCCGCCGCCGCCGCCTCCTCCTCGCGGGGGCCTCCGGGGGGCGCGGGCTCGGGGTCGGGGCCGGGCTCCTGCGCGCCCGCGGGCTGAGGGCCGGGGTCTGCGGGGGCGCCGGGCGGCGCGGCGGCCGCGGGAGCTGCAGGGGCGGCGGGGCGGCCGCGGGCGCGCTCGGCGATGAGGCGGCGTGTCTTGCAGAGCAGCAGCACCCGGCGCTGCAGCGGCTGCGGGGGCTGCGCGCTCGGCGCCTCGGCCGCCTCCAGGCCCGGCGGCTCCTCCTGGTCCGACTCTACCACGCTGCGCCGCAGGAAGCGCTGGGGCCCGGGCCGCGCCGCCCGCGCCCGCGGCACCGCCGCGGGCTCCGCCATGCCCGCGGGCCCCGCGCCGCGCCCGGCCTCCGTCAGCGCGCGGGGCCCGTCCCGGCGGCCGCCATCGCCGTCCATCTCTGCGGGCAAGGACACCGGCCCGCGTGAGCGCCGGCCCGCCGCACCTGCCCCGCCGCGGATGAGACAGCGCCGCCGGGGCCCGCGCCCTGCCCGCCCCCCCGCCGCGGAGGGGCCTGCGGGACTGCCCCGGGGGAGGGGTCTGCAAACTGGCCCTGGAGGCCCCGGCTGGGGAGGGGAGGGGAAGACGTCTGCTGTGGCTGCCCCTGCCCCCCCCCACCGGGGGCGGGCTGCGGTGGAGGCCGGGGGAGGGGCACTCGCGCCCTCCCTAGCCCCGGGAAAGGGGCCTGCCAGGCTGTCCCTGGGGTCCCCGGGACAGGCTCGCAGAGGGGACCGGGAGGTCGGAGAGAGGAAGGTACCGGCCAGGCGGCTGCTCCACAAAGGACGCGGCCCGGGGCGCAGGAGGGGCGCGCGGGGAGGGGGCTGCGGCGGCGCGGCGCGCACACAAAGGCGGCGGGCGGGGGGCTCGGCACTCACAGGGCGAGCGGGCGCCGTCCATGCCCGCGGCCCGGCGGCCGGAGCGGGAGAGGCGGGCGAGGCCGCGCTCCAGTGGCTGGGGTCCGGGGTCGGGGGCCGAGTCGCTCTCGGGGCCGGGGTCTTCGCTCCGGGCCGGGTAGCCGCGCTGCTCCTTCGGCCGGCCCGCTGCGGGGCCGCGCTCCCGCGTGCTGCTCCGGCTGCGTGCGGCTGCGCTCGGGCACCGGCTCCGACCCGGCGCGCGGGGAGGGCGGGGCCTCGGCTGCCCGCCCCCGGCTGGCGCGGCGGGGCGGGGCCTGGCACGCCCACCTGGCCGTGGGCGCGCGCGGCCACCTGCGGGCCTGCTCGCAGCTGCGGGTCCCCCGCGGCGGCGGCGCTCCTGGCCCCCAGGCTCGGGAATGACCCGCAGGCTGCTGTCCGCGGAGGGTCCCGCGTGTCCCCCAGAGGAGGCACAGACCCACCTCCTCACCTGTCCCAGCAGGCGCGCTAGACCTCGCAGCCCTGTGCCAGGGCAGAATGGGCGGGCTAGAAGGCAAGGGCCCAGGGCCGGTGGTCCCCCCAACCCTCAGGAAGCAGCCGGAGACCCCAACCCCAGGGCCAAACCTGGGAGGGGGTTGGAGTGTCCTTTCCCCCTGTCATTTCAGCAGGATCCATCGGGACCTCACCGCCAGGAGGGAGAGTACTGTGATCATCGTGCCCACTCTGCGGTTGAGCAACTGGAGGCCCTGAGGTAGAAGTTATCTGCCCTAAATCCCAGAGCCTCTCTGACAGAGGCTGCCCTGGGATGCCAGTGGGTAGGGGCCTGCAGAGGCTTCCAGGAGCCCCTGGGCCCACAGTGTTCTTCGTCCCCCACCCCTGTTAGATGCCACCTATCCCTGGGAGCCTTGACCTCATCCCCCTCTCCCTTTTTCTCCTCTAGACTCCCACAGACAAGACCCTCTCTTGGGCATCTTGAAGCTTCTTGCTGGGAGGTGGCATATGGCAAAGGCTTGAACTGCTAGTTTCTGAGCCCTGTGCCCTGGGAGGCCCTGAGCTCCTCCATCCAGTCCCTGGCGACCCTGTGGCTGCAGTGAGGTCAGGGAGCAAAGACACCGGGAGGCAACTGTTTCAGGGGAGATGCCCAGCGGCTCCCACCTTGGCGCTGCTGCTGGGACCAGCATGCCATCCAACACACGGGGTGCCCGTGGGCTCCAAGCCCCTGGCACAAACTAAGTCATGGGACGTCACACCATCAGAGCCACAGGGGAGGTGTGCCGCACCTCAGTTACCCAGAGCAGCAGGACTTCCCAAGTGCCGGAGCCAGTCACGACCGATTCTCCAGCGCTGACAAGCCTTCCCAGCTCTGCTCAGTGACACCCTGTGGTGCTGGGAGCTTTTGCACCATGGAAACGGGCAGACGCCACAGATCAGGACTTCTCCCCTCAGAGAATGGTTCCACGGTGTGCTGGTGCTGGGCTGGGCAGCTGGTACATGCCTTCTGAATATACCCTCCAGTCGTCACATCTGCCTTGTGTCCAGCCCAGAGCCCAGACAAAGAAGGGACAACATCCACCACCAGCTCCACTGGCCTGAGACCCTGTGAGGCAGGGATCTGAGCACGACCTCCCAGGGTGGGGGCCGGCCAGGCTGAGGTGGGGCTGCTGAGGATCTTTCTGTCTGGAGCCTAGAGACCCCTAACCTTGCTCTGCCATTTGCATGACCTTGGGTGAGTCCTGCTGTAGCAAGTCTCAGTATCCCCCACAGAACTGGCCTGGCCATCCTAGTTTGTTTACCTCAAGAGACTGCCAGTTCCGGGCACCTGGGTGGCTCAGTCGGTTAAGCGACTGCCTTCGGCTCAGGTCATGATCCTGGAGTCCCGGGATCGAGTCCCACATCAGGCTCCCTGCTCGGCAGGGAGTCTGCTTCTCCCTCTGACCCTCTTCCCTCTCGTGCTCTCTATCTCTCATTCTGTCTCTCAAATAAATAAATAAAATCTTTAAAAAAGAAAAAAGACTGCCAGTTCCTCCAAGACTCCATCAGTCCTGGAGGGCACCCAGAGTCCCAAGCCTGTTCGTGCTGGGCACACCCAGGCCTGTCCAAGGGAAAACTGAAAAGAGGTAGAACTAAGCCTGCTGTGGACAGACTCGAGGCAGTCTGGCCTCCTCCCTGCTTCCTGGGCCACAGTGGCAGCGAGCGAGCATCGTGCCCGTGTGGTGATGGAGGAGATGGCTGGACATTCACAGCATCACCTGGAGGCTCTGTCCACCCCCAGCTGACAGATATGCACGGCATGGCAGCAGCACCCCTACATTGCCTTCAGGGAGTGGGGAGAACCTGTCCCTGACTGAGGACTACATGCTCTCTGAGCCCTTAGGGGTGGCTTCAGGCAGCCATGCTTACGTGCCTCTGGTGACAGGGAGCTCAGTCCCTCTGCTGACTCATGACCATTGGAGTCCATGGCTAAGCAGCTAGTAGACAGGTCACAATCCTCTTTTGCAAGGACCCTCGGGCTGGGCTCAGGAGCAGGTCCTAGGATCCAGGAAGGATCAGACCTTGGGACCAGGGCTTTGCCAGGATCATGGTTGTTAGATTACTTGGCACCTCTGAGCCTCCTTGCCCGGCTCTGATGGGGAAAACAAGCACCCCTATCTGCTCTGCTGGGTGTCCTGAGGCTCCCACAAGCCAGGGCTGCAGGACACTGTGCAAACTGCCTGGTCCCGGTGGGTGCTGGCAGTGTCTGTCCCCTGCCTGGATCCGCTGCCTCCATGGTTGTCAGGCCAAGGGGCATCATTACCTCCGTGCCATCGAGGAGTAGGTTGAGGCCCAGTACTGAGACTTTTCGACTTCAGTAGTTTGCTCAAGGCCACAGAGCCGCAGCCAGTGCCCCTCCCCTCCACAGCTGTCAACTTGGCTCCCCAAGACTCCAGTGCCGGGGAGCCCTAAGTCCCCCCAGGTGTAGGCTATCCCGGTGCCACAGCCTGGCCAGGCCGGTGGGGCCCTGAGGCTCACTTCCAGGGCCAGGACCCAAGCAGGCCACACGGCTGTGGCATCACACTGCTCTTCAGGAGATGGACATAATGGCGATGACCAAGGACTTCTACGAGGGAGGGCAGGGTCTAGCCTTGCCCCCAGAGAGCCCATTGCCAGGTACTTTTGGGTTAGGTCTGCCTCTGAGTGGACTGCAGCAGGATGGAACTGTAGCTGGTCTTGTGGGGAGACACAGTGCAGCCAGGCCACCTCCCACTGTCCCCCCACCCAGGCCACAGCACAGGGAGGTGGCCCCTCACCACCAGGGGCTCCTCCAAATACCACAGACTCACTCAACAACTATGTGGGGCCCACCACAGGTGCAGGTGAGACCTCAGGGCCGGAGTGGGTCCTATGGGGGCAGGGCAGACCTCTCAGGACCTGAAGGTAGGGTGTTGGGGGCAGGCAGGTGGGGTGGGAGTCATGTGGACCTCTGAAGCTGGGGCTCCCGGTCCCCGTGAAGTGCGTGCGGGCTGGGAGGGCAGAGGGTGGGGCCCTGCTGCCCCAGCCCCTCAGGAAAGCCTCCCCAATTCGATGGGGGATGTGAAGTTCTGTAACATAATCTTCATTTTTCTTCTTCTAATTAATACGATTCCATAACATTTCCTTTACACCCTAATTTTAAAACGTGGTTTAAAAAAAAAATAATAGTTTCGTTGGAGGACACCCGGGGACGCCATCAGTTGAGCCTCCAGCTCTCGGTTTTGGCTCAGGTCATGATCTCAGGGTCCTGGGATCGAGCCTCGCGTCAGCCTCCGTGCTCAGCATGGAGTCTGCTTGAGATTCTCTCTCCCTCTCCCCTCCCCCTGCTCATGTGTGCAATCAATCAATCATAATTGCATTGGGATATAATTCACATTCCTGAAAATTCACGCTTCTAAAGTGCATAACTCTGTGGTCTTCAGTATATTCAGATATTGCAACCACCACCACCATCTCGTTCCAGAACATCTTCACCCCCCAAGAACAAGATGTCACTCCCCACCCCTGTCTCTCAGCCCCGGGCAGCCAGGAATCTGCTCTCTGTCTGTGGATTTGCCTGTTCGGGACTTCTCATGTCCCCAGAGTCACGCAGCGCCAGGGCCGCTGTGACCCGCTGCTCTCCCTCAGCACTCCCCACTCTGCGCGGGTCAAAGGTGCATCATGCTCCGCTCCAAATAATATTCGGTCGTACGGTGACAGACAATGATTTTCTTAAGAGCTCGTAGTCAGGGGCGCCTGGGTGGCTCAGTTGTTAGGCATCTGCCTTCGGCTCAGGTCCTGGTCCCGGGGTCCTTGGATCAAGCCCCGCATCGGGCTCCCTGCTCCGTGGGAAGCCTGCTTCTCCCTCTCCCTCTCCCCCTGCTTGTGTTCCTCTCTTGCTGTGTCTCTCTCTGTCAAATAAATACAATCTTTAAAAAAAAAAAAAAGAGCTCATAGTCATTATAGGAAATTTGTAAAATAGAAAAAGTGGAAATAGAAAATTTTAAGCTGTCCCTGTGTGCTACCAAGTAAGTGTGCACCCCCGGCCCCCGTGGCTA